AGTTTAAGTTTGGATACAAGGAGTGAAATCAACACAACATTTTACCTGAGAATTAAAAAATTATAGAACCTAAATAGAGACTACTAACAGGATGTGATTAAATATAAATTTACACCATACATTTTTTTCAAAACCTATTTTTTTAATCATATGCCAAAAAACAAATGATTACTACATTTATATTTTATACAAACAGATACAAATTCCTATAATCTTGAGAACTTGCAATCAGGGTCTCATCTGTCACTTTATTAATATGAACTATAAAGTGATAATTTCCAATTTCTAATGATTCATCTTATTTTTCCCTCCGATTTTATTTATATTATTTTGCCCATATTTAAAAATATATATATATATATATAATATATGGGTGTTTTTTTTTTTAAGATTTTATTGGGGAATTAGGGGAGGGAACAGCATTGGGGAATCGAGAAAGTGGAACAGACAAGTTGCTGTCTTTTTGTTCTTCAGTCTAGTTGTGGAGGACGTTGCTTCACTGGCCCATTGGACGGCCACTCATGGTGGTTCACGGCAGCTCACGAAAGCTCACGCCCGCTGCTGGCCAGCCCCAGTGCAGCCTACACCATCGCCGGTGACTCACGGCAGCCCAGCTCCAGGTTGAGCTGTTGTTCATCATCTTAGCTGTAGAGGGCACAGCGTCACTGACCCTCATGTGGAATCCGAACTGGGGCCCTGCTGCTCAAAGCTGGCGTCCCAAACCAACTCCTAACCAACGCGCCACTTGGCCAGCCCCCTTATATTTTACTTTTAGATGTAAATGTCCCTCTATAGACATACATGTGGACATACTTACATGTTAGTTTTGTTTAAGGAAAACACACATACATAGTATATATATGATGGTAAGTAATTAATAAATGTTATTTTCCTTCTTTCTTGTTGGGGGTTCAAAAACACTATAGCAATAAAGGGCACAATATAATTTTGAGATCATTCAGTGTTTCATTGTTTTTCCTTATAACATGACATCCTTAATTTCTACTTGAGTGTGATATTTTCTAATTTAAATGTTTCCTGATTTAACTAAACAGAAAAGCTACTTCTAGCACCTAATACTTAGCATTCCTATAATAGAAAGAATTATGAATAGTACAAAAAAGTTTAAATTTAATCGTGAAGGACTATTACCAATTAAATTTATAGGGCCCCAAGAACATTTTTAAGTATCAGAGGCATTCTATCTGTTAGGCCAATAATCTATAACACGAAGAAGTAAATTTTGACAACATGGAAACATAATTTAAATGTCAAACTTATAAACCATAAATTTAAAAATGCTTCATCATCTAAAACTGAATGGAGTCATAAGAAAATTCTAGTGGAAGTCTTAGAATTACAATATTTTAGAATTTAACTCTCTACTATTACTAAACCATTAGCTATGTTCCTGTGGTTTTATGAAGGATTAGCTTGCCATTTCTGTTTTGTTTTTTTCAAAACTTCACTGGGGAACAGTCTGTTTTTTCCAGGACCCATCAGCTCCAAGTCAAGTCATTGTTTTCAATCTAGTTGTGGAGGGCACAGCTCACTGGCCCATGTGGGAATCGAACTGGCAACCTTGGTGCCATGAGCCGGCGCTCTAACCACCTGAGCCAACCAGCTACCCCTTGCCATTTCTGTTTTTAGCAAGTCAAATTCAACCATTTTGTTATGTTTTGATCTTTAATCTTCCACTCCTTCATTGACTCATTCATTCCATAAAATCCACTCCGTTACATCCTTGGTGTATCTATTACGTACCTACTATTACTAAAGAAATTCCTGCTATTCTACTTGAAAGGCAGCTTGTTAGAACCTGATTGCCAAGATCATGATAAATGTTAGAGTAAAAAAGGGTTGTTTCCTGTCCTATCTCACTATTTTACACCTGCTATTTCCATTTCAACTCACACGCTTCCATGGAACGATGGGCACCCTTTCAAACTCCAGGCTTACTTCAAACAAAATTTACCTGTCCTAAATGCTGCTCTAGTTACCCTGACAAACTTTCATACGAGGCATGCTCATATGAAAAAAGTCATTAATAAGTTAACCTATATGCCTCTTAACAAGTGGCAGCTCTGTTTTTGTCTGTCTGCTTGAGTTTTTAAATGATCTTATTTAGGAACACAACCTTAATGGCAAGAGAACCTAGGCAGGTGAGTGAGCATTTAGGCTGAAAGCAGGGGTGTGGCTCCTGGCCTTGGTTTTTTTCCCTTAAATAGCATATGCTATGTATGTTTTCAGAAAATAATGGCTAATAATTTATTAAGTAAATGCCAGGTACTGTTTTATAAGCTTTAAATGTTATTATATCATTTTATCCTCAAAATAACTCTACGAGGCAAGTACTAACATTATCACCATTTTACATATAAGGAAACTAAAGGTTGGAGAGGTAAGTATTTGTCCAGGGTTCACACTGCTTGTAAGTGACAAAACTGGGATTTGGACAAATGCAACTAGCTCCAAAACCAAAGAATTTAACCACATTATCCTACTGCACTGCATGCCCAATCTAACTCACAGAGCTGCTGTAAAGATTAAATGAGACATACCCAAGTGCTCTGAAAGGGACACTCTACTCCTTGTATTGTTAAAACACTGATCTATAAAAGTGACAGGAATAATGAAAAGGTTTCAGGCACACTGGCAGGCAGAGGCAGTATTGGTTTTCTTCAGGTTAGTCTTCCCAGAACACACCAAATCAAATACATAAATTAAACACCAATTCTGACTATGTATCAACCGTAACTTATTGTTTACAAATGTAGTTAGTTACTGTTTAAATGTATGTCCTGCATTGTTCATGGTTAAATTCCAGTCTATATTTCCTCCAATTTTATCTGACACTAATCATTTGATATTAGCAACAGTCCAATTCATCCAAAACTAATAGAAAAATAACGATTTTACAAAAAAATATTTAATATATCATAAAATGCTATTAATTAAAATGATGCAACTAAATTATTTAAATGATGACTCCATACAAAAATTAAAATCTTGGCAAATTCAAAAATAAAATGTAGTAGCTTATTGGAAAACACAGTAATGAAATATTTCAATTGACTAATAGAGGAATTCTAGATTGTATATGAATTTCATTTCTAACTATGCTTTTTTCTCCAAAATGAGAATAATTTGTCTTTGTCTGATAAAGATGATGAAGAAAATATTGTTTTACTCTAACAGTTTATTAACAATATATAGGCAAGCTTCAATTTTACTTACATGTCTATAATGTATAAATTCCTCCATCAAAAAGTCCTATATTCTCAAGAATTTTAGCAACTACTCAATATCTCGCCTTGTATATATCTTTCCAGTACAATTTTCACCTTACTTTCTCAAGAATGCTATCTCTAAAAACAAGTATTAAATTATCAATGTGGGGCAATATTAAAATAATTTGTTAATAATTTCACTATTTCTAACAAAAGTACATACAAATATCAGAGAATGAGTCAGATACGCTACTGCAATAAATTATTCCCTACCATATCAATTTACATTTTTCAAAATTCCATGCTTCTCTATTATAATTAAATTTTTTCTAATTTCCCCTTATGTACATTGTTTTTTCTTGAACCAGACTCACATCTGGTATCTTTTGCTTCTAGCTTAAATTTTAATGCTGGAACTTTTCAAGTTTCTCTACAAATTTCCTCTTGTTTTATGTATGGTTTTTTAATACCCTTAAATAGTACACTACTTTGCCTATATCTCTATATAAGTTAAAACTGGAAAAACTTTGTTAACTTCCAACACATTAAAGGATTAAATATGGTGTTTCCTAAATTAAAACTAGACATAATACTGGAAAAATAAGATATTTTATACCAAAACCTTTATAAATGTAAAGGAGGGGACATTTAACTTTCAAATTTCATTTTAGCTATCTGTAAATAAAATACAAAATTAATAATATTACTTATTGCTCTACTATGGCAAGAAAGCCCATGGTATTTAATGGTTTGGATTGAAAGGCATCAGGACCTAACAATGTAATTCAGTTTGGTGGTTGTATTTAAAGTGCTGAGAATTCGTTTTACAAAATTGTGCTAGTTCTAAATACCTATATAATATATTAATAATTTCTTAAGCAAATTAAGATTTTCTTAATAAGGGGATTCTTTCTTTATTGCGCACTTTCTTGTGTGGAAAAAGGTAAACGGATTAAATACTTTACGTGTAATTTCATATAAAGCATGCAAAAATGACCAAATATTCCTGCAAAAACAATTCTAAACAATGCCGGCCTAAGGTTACTTTCACCCTTACATGCAAAACAAACACACATATAGAACAAATAATACTTATTACATTTTAGTTTTTGAAAATGTATTAGACAAGTTGTCAAATAAAAATACCCAGGATTAATGTATCCTTCCAGAGCAATTCTTTGTCCTTATAATTCTTTTAGAGCATTAATCCTCACTGGCCTCTTTATTATATAAAATAAAACTGAAAGACTGTAAGAGCCAAGGGCTACTTACTGATGATTTAAACAGTCTTAGTTTTCTTGTCATTTCGTTTAGTCCAAGGTTGTGAATTTATGAGAAATATACAAGGTTGTGTACTTCATGTTTCCAAACTATAAGGTGCCCAATGAAGTACAAGTAAGAGGTAAGGAAATCTTATAAAGAATTTTAGTGCATGTTCTATACAGGAAATCAATATGGAACTGACACAGAAATATGGGTTTGGTTTGGTTTTCCTTTCTTTTTCTGTTTTAAATATAATATTTTTCTTTTAAATTCCATTTACTAATATTAATGTACCCAAAAAAGCTACATTCACACAACAGTAAAATTTAGATCCTGGAATATTACCTAATTTGTTCAGAAAAGAAACAAGGTGTACACAGTATCTAACAATTTAAAACTCCAATGTGGGCATAAACACACCACACACGAATCAAAAGCAAAAGATTGGACCGAGTACACTTCAACGAAAAATTCAAAGGCATTAAATTCAATTCTTAACCAACTTACCTAATTTTTGTCTTCTCTTTTAACTTAGAACAAGTTTTTGTTTTCTTGCTCTCTTTGTCCTTTGGCTTGGATTTCATCCTTCTACCTTTCTTTTCCTCTTTTCCTTCAACTGAAGCACTAGGGAAGTTTTCAGGGCTCATTACTCGTGGAATATTGCGCTCCCCACGCTCCTTTGCTTTCGCTATGGCCTCTGATATTATACGATTAGCCTTTTCTTGCTTGCTTTCTGATTCCACTTTTTTTCTCTGCTTCTTCTCAGATATGATCCTCACCTGGGTATTCTGCAACTTAGTATATGTCCCAGAACCATCATTCTTCTTGGAAGATGGAGGCTAGAAAATCAAAATATTATTTATGCGACATACCAGAGTACATAAAAAACAATTAACATAAACATCTGAAAGTTTAAAGGCTTAAAGAAGTAAAATACATGAACAAATATGTGAGTCCTACAAACAAATTTAAAATTAAAACACTTTGCTGATCTAGACATTAGTGTAGGTATAAAATAAAAAGCTCAACTATTGCTTTTTAAATGGAGGTTAAGGAAGGATAATATAGATCCATTGATATTTTCATAGCATTCTTGATTAGTTTGTTGATTCAAATTTTGTTCTGAATATACAGCTGATTCGAATTTTATCCTGTAAACGTTCTATATATTTGGAGTAAAAGTATTTTCTTTCTTCTTCACTCAGGAACTCTGAAAATTATTACTAAATTTAAAATAACTATTTTAATACAGAATGACTACACTTACAGTTTACTATGATTTTTAGAATAAAGCGTCTGCTTTATAAGAACCTAGAACCTGAAATCATTTCAATTTGCAATCTATGCAGCAACATAGCTAGTTAGTAAACAGACATTCCCATACTTCAAATTAGAGAAAGTTTTAGTTTTTCCATGAAAGAGTTAAATGTGGATTTTTTTTTCTCTTCCTATATCATAATTATTTTGCTCAAGCAATTCTGGAAAAAAAGAAGTTTTATAGTTTAACGTTAAAATTATTAATATTTTAGCAATATCACAGGAAGCAGATAAACAGCATTTTACAAAGAATATCCTGTTCAAACACGCATTCATCCACAGATACTTAGACCCCAGTTGTGTTATGTTCTTACCCGTAAACATGCCTCTGACTAGAGCAAAGGAAAAAACCACCAGGAATTTCCAAACACATTTCCATGCTGATTCCAGTGTGCTTCACTGGATATCTTTTCTATACCTGCCTCATCAAAGATTTCACAGCAGTGCTACAGCACTGGGAAAGGAAGGAGGGTTTAGAATCGCTCACTAAAATGCCACCTTAAGGCCTACAGGCTATAACAAATAACCAAGACTCGAGAAAACAGCAACAAGCTCAAGATGGCGATGCAGTACGACTCCGCAGCAGCAGCCAGTAATAAGGAAGGTTATTCAATCCCATTAGCCTTTTAGCCCAAAGAACCCCTCCTCCTCCCACTCATTCAGGCTTTCACTTACCCTTCCTCTTGGCCTCTTCACTGAAGACATTTTTGGCGTCAGACAAAGGCTTGCCCTCTGCTTTTTCACCACCCCAGGCAGTGCTCAAGAAAAAAGCATTGAAAGAAGATTCCTAAATGGCCTATTTAGCAAGCTGCAACCAAGAGATGCACAACCCTCCACAAACACACATAGTGATTTTTCAACACATTTCTGCCTTGGCAAGTTTATATCCACTGTTCATCCTATTTAGGTATGAAAAAGGCTGTAAACTCCTCCTAAAAAGCGGAGTTTCCTCAACAGCTATAAGCAGATAGCCAGATTCCAACAAAGCACAGAAAGAAATGAATGCACAAAGCATCAAAATGCATCAGCATGAATATTAGAGATGTCGTTAAAAATACTGACTCCTTCTGCGGAAGTAGGCCAGCAGATGGTGCTACCAGTTATTATTCCATTAGACTCCGCAGTTTAACCCCCAGTGGACTGTTCTCCCTCCAAGTCACACATTAACTCTCACTCTGCCACTTCCGGCAGTCAAGTTTTCAAACTATACAGAAAAACCTGGCTTTTCAAAATCTGAAAACTAAAATCGTGGTGAAATGACTTTATGTAGCTATCAGTATTAAAAAACAAAATCCAATGCAATTTTTACTGGAGAAAACACTTTTCTCCATGATACTTTAAAATATAAAATTAGTTGAAGGTTAGCAAAGGGTTAAAGAGCAGGTCATGCAAACTGAACACATAACAAGTGACTTTAAGAAATTAGATAAGGTCTTTTATGATTCTAACAATAAGCTAACAATGTTATCTTTAAAATAGAGAAATGCAGCTATTTTCATTTAAATTCTAAAAAGAAGCTTAAGATTTTCAAATGAACACAAAAGAGCTGTCTATAAAGAATCACTAACCACACAAATTTTTCTTTCTTTAAACCTGGATAAATACATTAATTAATTTTCATGACATAAAAATATCATAAAACCTTTCTGACCTTTATTACACATTCTATTCTAACTGAACTGCTGAATTTTTCAGATAAAATTTTAGTTTTAGTCCCTTGCTAAAAATAAGTGGCAAGTCCAGCTCAATTTGATCATCAGTACAACTTTTCTTTCTATAAAAACTGAGACTATTTAAATAAACACTGCCTTTAAAAAACAAACCAAATTTCCACTGCTTCACAATCCAAGTTGACCTCTTTCATTAATACTGTTTTTTCATTTGGTCTTGGCAAGTCATCTGATACCTCTATCAAAGAACCTGTTTTTTGTTTTTGTTTTTTTTTAGGCACCAGAGGTCTCAAAACAAAGCTACATTATATGAACGGTGTCCCAGAAAGACCAATCTAGACAGAAGAAGAAATTAAAGGCAAAGGGCTACAAATGGCAAGGAAAGGATATGACTGACCTTAGAGGTCATCCACGTGAAAACCACAATAACCAACAAGGGCTAATGCTTACCAAGTGCTTAGTTTACTAAGTGCCAGGCGCTATTCTAAGCATTTTACATGTATTGACTAATTTAATCCTGGATGATATAACAGGGTACTAGTGACAACAGAGGAAACACTAACAAATGGGAGACAGGTTCTTAGAGCAGTATTACGAAATGACAGACCGGACCTGAGAGAGCAAACAATTTTAAAAATCATAACGATAACAATGATAAGAGCTAACTCTTATTTAGTCTTCTATATGTACCAGGCAGTATTCCTAATATTACATATATAGTAACTCAATTTATCTTCAAAACAATCCTGTGAGATATGTACTACTTACTGTTATCCTCATTATATATGTGAGGATACTGAGGCATTGAGAAGTGACTTGATCAAGACCACACAGCTACTGAATGATGAAGCAAGAATTAAAAGGCAGAAAGTCTCATTATAGAAACCATGTTTTTAACCACTATATCATATTTGGTTCAAATATCATAATTTATAGAGATTAATCTGAACACAAAAGAACGTGACTTTCTCAAAATTGCAGAGATACTTAGCAATAAAGCTAGGATGAAATTCAGGTTTTTTCCAGTGCCCTTTCCAAGAGGCAGACCTAGATATGGGAGGATATGGCTGGAGGGTAGGGAGAGTCAATATCTGGTTTCTAGACCATGTACAGGTACAGGAGAAGGTAAAAGAATAGCTGAGAAAGGGTGTTTATGTGTGCATAAGTTTAATTCTTTTCCCACTGAGTTTGAAATGGAGACCTCTAAAATTAGAAATTTGGGACTGAAGCCTTAGAGAAGTCAGGGCTGGAATATAAGATGTGGGTTCTACCATTGCTTGCTTTCAATAACCTCAACTCACTGACACTACTCAGAGAACCTAGGATGATTTCCAAAGTATCTCACTTCTGTAAAGCTTTTCAATAGCTGTCTCAAAATCCCAATTTTTTAACAATACCTCTTAACAGTAGACAACAGAGAACCTGTGATCAAATATTTCTTCTGCTATTAGAATACAGTATTTTAAAACTATTCCCACAGAACATCAACATTGAGGTATTAAGTAACTGAACATTTTTAAAGTAAATCATTTCTCAATTCACACATACACACAACATACACAAGGGTAGTTCATAGACGTTTTTCAATGTTACGTTTTCTTTTTCCTTATAAAAGCAGTCGTCAAATTCTGTCAAATCTACTTAATTGTATTTTGTTTTGTTTTCCTCCTCTCAGTCCAAACAGTCCTGCGATATTATTTTCCCATTTGTTAACGATTACATTGTAGTTATGTAGCGACCCTTCCTTATCCATCGAAAACGTACATGTATACTAAAGTCTTGGGGGTGATGGAACACCAGCTTTGCAATCTTCTCTCCAATTTTTTACAAAGTAAAATAATTTCTTTGTATTTCCCTTGTGATTTTTCTGTAAGTTTGTCATAGTTTCAAAATGTAAATTGTTTAAAAGTTAAAAAAAAAAGCAAAGGCCTTTATCCCCCAAAACTTATATTCTAAATGAGATAAACATAAAAGGCACATATTAAAATCATATCCAAAATGTATAAGAAAAAGAAATCATAGGATAATATAAAGATGGTATCATATGTAATGTATTAATTATTTTGATAGCAACTGGGAAGAATATATGGAAGACCTGGACATGATACAATATTTCAATATTGGGGAAACTCAAGGATTTACACAGCTCATGACCTAATAATAGCAAGACATGATATAAATTTAGTGGGTCCAGGCTAGCACTAAAAAAATATAAAACAGAATGAAAAAGGATGGATGTCACCTCTTACAAATTTAGGAAGTTTTCATACTACCTGTTATTCCTCTTTTCTTTCATGAGAAAGGAGCAAAGAGATTTGGGCAAGAAATAAGGTGTTAAAATCTGCGTAGGGTCTCAGGTCTCTTCCCTCTCGAAGGAATAATCTTCCCACATACCCAACCCAACCCACACTGGGGAGCTCACCCATTTCAAATATTAGAGTTGTATACAAATAATTAAAATTACTGACTCACCAGTGAGTGGAAATTATAAACTTCCCAAAAGACAGGAAGAATGATCACATAGCTACTACACATCTACTATAGAACACAGGTTCCTCTATGGGGAAAAATATACTACATGGAAAAACAGAAGTTCTACTTCACGTATTTTTAAAACAATACAAAGGAATAAAGGGTCTCAAACAATAAAACAGATATAATTCCTTAGTAAGAATAAAACACAGAACAAGGAATTTTCAACTGACAAAAGTGCATTGTAGCTAAAAAATCTTCCAACCTTTTCTCAGGAGAGAGGACTCTGGCTTCAGGCCTGGGGGGCCAGGTGGATGGAGGTTCCATTGGAAGAGAGTAAAAAACAGAATAGACATAGCAAGCCTTGAGCAAGCATGCGT